TGCAGCCTAATGCTCATTCACAATCTAATTCTCATATGGGTTTTGTAGGAAACAATGATCTTGGATCGACCCGATTCGATTCGGGTCATAGAGATCAATACCGAGATGGTGAATTGGGTGGTTCGGTTGGAAAGGTTGTTCCTTTTGCAGTTAAGCTTGGGAAATTTAGGAACATAGATATTGGTGAAGGAAGTGATACCAATAACAACATTGGTAATAGTAGTAATTTAGACGAAAGGAGGTGTTTCTCGATGGGATCATATGAGTATATAATGGATGAAGAAACGGCTCTTAAGGTTCATGTTTCAACAAAAAAACAATCAAGCAAGAACCATCGCTTGCCCGGTCATAGGACGGCTATGTCCGAATGCGGGTTTGATCCAACAGGGAGATTGAAATTCAATGGGAATGGATCGATGAGGATCGCGGAAGAAGTTTCAACAGAGAAGAATGTGGTTGAAAGAGAGAGCTTTTCGGTATCGAAAATTTGGCTAAGGGGGAAGAAGGAAAAACATAGTAAGGTTCAAGGAAAAGAGGATAGTTCATTGGTTTCTTCGTCTTCGGGAAGAGCATTCTCTTTTAAGTTATCGAATCAGCGAAATCCTCCCGATGCAAAGATCGAAATCGGGTGCGAAGAAGAGAATCAAAAGAGCGAAAATTCAGAATCTTTGGAGACGAAAACACCATCTTTTGCTAGGAGGACTATGCTTTGGCTTGCAGGGAGACAAAACAAGGTTGTTCATTCTTCTTCCCCATCTAATGTCTAGTGTCTACATTTTTTGCTTTTCTTTTTAAATCTAAGTTTCTTTTCAATTGTTTCTTTGTGTTAGCTAGTCCTCATAAGTGCGAAAACAGTTGAATCATTGTAGAAACGTGGTGTTGAGATACATATATTTTAGACATAGATTGAGAACATTTTGGTGCGTCTTAATTTTTTTGGCAAATCTTTTTCAATTCTTGAATATTTGGGCCAAACAATTAATGGTCGATTCAAGCTTTCCATCTAACTAGATAACGACTAAATTAAAATGTAATGAATCATGTAATTAGAGATAGAAAATAAAAATAAGCTTGCCAAAGATTCCAACCATATGTGTGATTTTCCGGCCAAATGAAAGCTAATGATTGTTTAAGAAACCGTAAAAATTGCTTCTGTGACTTGGTGTTCGACGATTCTATAAGTACAATTCAGATTTGTGAGAATTGTTTTTCGTAATCAGATAAATTTCGGAATTTGATGTTTACTTTTTTTTTTGTTTAACTTTGGAATTTGATGTTGTGAAGTTAAAAGTTCATACTAATTTAATTAGCCCCTAATGACTACGTTCACATATGTTCAGCAGAACTATTAATCATATCATTTGTTATGTCTACTTTGCATTTGAGACACAAACCATTATTCTAAGAATCTTGAAAAGAATGATTATCTCTTTGTTTGTTTGATTTTTTTCTTTCTTCTGGAGCATTAGATAAGAAGTGGTTGTCGTGGTAAGACAGTTGCATTGAATTGAGGCAATTCTTCATACGACAAAAGAGATCTTGATTCTTGTGCGATATGTTGTGGAG